AGAGTTCTTTGTTGTGGTATTGCTTTGAGTGTTACAGTATGTGACGTAAGAGTCGATGCCGGGGAAATTCTTCAGAATTTTTTAAATAAATGATTGATGTAAGGTTACTTAACGATTTAAGATTGATAATTTATTACTTGAAATATAAGGTGTCTGAGGAGTTTGACTTTTAAGTTGCGATTTGACAAGTTGATGACACTTCCCGACATTTAAAACTGCCTTGCTTCATTAAGGCTTACTTCAGTAACACTTATTGGAAATTCATCAAACTCGTTTTTTAAAAAACTCAACAAAGTAGTGAAAGAGACATCATAGACACAGTGAGGCAAATGGTTTTCATCAAATTATTGTGTGCAATTACAGTGTGCCCGGTTTTTTATTAAGATCTGATATGACCTACTTTCCGCTCCCCCCTCCACTGTGAAGGCAGTTATTTGCTGTAGAATTTACTTTGGCCGATAAATATTCTCTGATTTGAGAACTAGTGAGGACATTAGCTAATTCTCTCTGCATGTATATTTTTTCAGACTTGATGTGATCTGTTGGTGTGTGGGAGGGGTGGCTGGCAGCAGTCAGCAGTTTTACTTTCTCAGATCGAACTGTCCGCTTTCCCTAGGATCTCATCAAAGGAGCTTCAAACACAGCGAGTTTTAGAGTTGATGTGCAAAGTCAAAATCGCTGTAGATGCTAAACGGGTAAATTGCACCTGAATACTTTTCCAGGGGGCTGTTTATAATGATTTCAGTTGCCCTTTTAAATAAAAATGAGGTCAAATCCATCTCAAGAGAATTGGGAGTTGTCGTGCAAAGATTACGTTAAACCTGTGGTACTTACTTGAATGCTGGATTTGTTACAGTATGTCAGTCACTAGCTCCCTTTCCTCAACTTTATTCTTGCTATTTTATGGTTAAACTTTATTATGCTCTATTTAGGCAAGTATGTCAAGTTTTTCTATGGTTTTCCTTCTGTGAGGATCACAGCAGAGATATAAGCTGTGTTGGACTCAATGTTTGGTGGGACGAGACGATGATTTAACTGGCTAGCGTGGGAGTGAGCAACGGTAGTGAGTTTGCTGGGACATACAAAAACCTTTCCGTGAAAGAAAAAAATACTGTATTGGTGTAATGACGTAGGGAACTGGTGCTGGCCACCATTTCCACTTGCGTCCTGCGGCTCTTCTGGTGGTTTGCTCTGGTGTAGCTCCACCAGCTCCTGCACGCAGGAGAAGGCTTGGATTAGAACTTCTGATGAGAAGTTTGCTCCACGGACACGTGTTCCCTTCCAATATCCATTACTGCTTCTAGCACAGAAGGAAAGTTTACTATAGATTTCCTAGGAATGTGGGGCAGAACTTGGCCTTGTAGTTCCCATTATGGAGAGCTGTGTGTTCCTGTTTGAGGGGAGACGATGGCTCCCTGCTTCCATTTGTTTTTCTTAATGGTAGTCTTGCTCCTCTTACCCTTTGGTTCTCTTATGGTTTCCATATGTTGTGTTCCTGTAACCTCTTCTTGTAGCTTCCTCTCTCCTCTCAGGCACGGCTGCCCACAGTGTTTCTGCGTGAGATTTGCTTTCGGGCATCAGTGAAGGAGAATATTCCCCCTTCCTTCTGATTTCACAGAGGTAGTTACTGTTTTCTGCATCTTTCCTTTTGGATAAATAGGCAAACGGTATGAGGCGATGGAGCTTCTCTGATGTTAGCTTTTCTCTAGGCTAAGTGCTTTCCTTGTCTGAACTTCATGCCCTCGATCATGAATGTGCCTTGATTACGGAGAAATGCACTAGAAAAAGTCAGTGGAAGATGCAAGAGCAACAACTGGATGTCTGACATGCAAATTAACAAAACAGTAGCACTTTTTAGTACAAAATTAACAATTTGTGGAGTGTGTGTCCTCTATAAAGTGTGCACTTAGTAAGCATTTCTGTTGTATTTGTGGCTGGTACCTCTATACCCAAAGTGTGTAGTCTGGAGATTGCGTCGAGTGATTAGAATGTAGCTTTCATTGTGGAGGGCTCAAGGAGTGTGTCAGCTGTGTTTCGCTCTTCTGCCATTCTTTTGAGGGGAGGTTGAGCTGAAACTATTCACCCTAATTTTAAAAGGAGTTTTCTCTTGCGTGGAACAGGTGTCTTGGATACATACTGGCCTTTGTTCCCCATCAGTTCTCCAGAAAATTCCTTTGCATGTTGGCAGGATCTAAGCTAGCACCTTGAAGGATGTAAACTACTGTCCATGTCACCATTGAGAAGTATCCTCCTGTTCTGCATCCAAGCTGGGCTGACCAGAATAGACACCAGATAGTCCTGCTATTCCTGGAATGAGGTATCAGGCTCATGATCCTGACCTCTGTACAACTAATATACGCTCTGCTTATTGCCATCTATTTGCAGGACTGTTGTGCTGCAAGTGCTTGCTTTGGTGTGTAGCTGTGGGGTAGGTTAGCAGCAAAGTGGTTTCACTCAGCTCTTTCAAGTTAAATAGCTCTCACCTGAATTAAAGTAGGTTTTATTTAGCATCATAGCTGGCCTTTAAGTGGGTTATTTTCTGTAAAAATGGAGTATGTGACTCATCTGGAAAAAGCTGTTGTGGAGGGGACGATTGTGCCTTTACTCTGGAATATTTGTTTTACTAATTGGCCATTTAGATCTATGGTTAAACGATCCCTATTTTTCCTGTTGAAGTTAATGGCAGTTGGATCAGGTGGAGCGAAGCATGGTCTGTACCAGCCTGGAGTCATGCCAGTGCTCCACGGGGCCATCCAGATCCCAAGGATGTGTCCCCTCTGGGACCGCTTTGTTGATGCCGCATGGGAACAGCGTAATTCTGCCTTGGTCGTTCTGAGTGCCGGCATGCACGATACCTACTTGCAGAATGTTTTCCGCATGCAAGGAGTTCTTGAGACCTCTGTTGTCTCATACCTTGTTGATCAGCTCTGTCTAAAACTAATTAGCGGTCACTTTCTGAATTTGCAGACGAGGAGTACTTTTGCGAGGTCTGTCAAAGCCACCTGGGCATGGGAGCTGGGGGCA